CTTTAACTACAGGCTGGTCTGAATAAAAGACCTTGGGAAACTGCTTCCAGCCAGAGTAAGCAAAACTAGGCTAGATGGACAAATACTCTGACCCGGTATAATGCCCTATGTTTCTAGCAAACCTCTCTCCCCCCGCCCCCCTTTCAAAGTGGCATGTAAGAGATCTCATCACATGCTAACCAGAGAAGAGATCAAACCTTTCCAAAACACGGCTGGAGGCTTGCAGTAGGCGTAGCAGGGGAAGGGAGACGGCGGACTTCATCATTCATGTACAGGAAGTGATAAACAAAGCAGTGGTTTGTCAGGGGCCTCCTGGGAACTCAAGAAATGAATATCCTCTTCCAGTTCCTCATGAACAGTTCAGATCATCTCCTCCCCCGGTATGCGATGTTGCAAGCCCTCTGATTTGGTTGGAATTTTTTTTAATTAAGTGGCCAGGAACATAGGGATACAGCTGATCACGGTGGCTAGCCAGCTGGCTGTGGCAAACTGCATTTTTCTTTGATGACCGGATATGGACAGAACATTATTAATCCTCAACTCATCAATCTGCCATGGCTTCCAAAGCATTGTTTTCCCCCCAGTTACAAATCTTTGGCTTTAAATTAGGGACAGCACGAAAATAATAATTATTTATTTGGGTATTTCTATACTGCCCTTCACCCTATGGTCACAGGGACAGGTACGGGCCCAGTTCAAGGTGCTCACATTAGTATTTACAGACTTAAATGTCTTAGACCCCAAATATTGAAATAATGAGAGTGATAGCAATAGCACACCAATGAACATTTATCAGACCCGAAACTAAAAATGGAAGAAGAAAAGAAGAATAGCAGTGGGTGACACCAGGTAGTTTAACCCACTCACCTGTCAAAGCAGGACCACGAAGGTGGAGACAGATGATAATCTGGCCTACAGGGCCAAAAAGGTTCCCCACCCACATTTAAAGTTACCTTACCCAAAGCTTATCACTCTGAGGAAGATCTCTCACACACCTTGGTCCTTTCTCAAAGTACGTTGGTGTCAGGGACCGGCACCAGCCGGGGAACCCCCAAGGTAAGACAGCTCAGAGCCCAGGGAGCGGTGGTGGGATGACGATGAGTGGTCAGAGGGAGAAGAGGGAGAAGACTAGAAGGAGGTGGTATCAGAAGCAGAAGAGGTAACGGGGCTTAGTGAGCAGGGAGAGTCTGTGGCAGAGTCCAGAATCAGAAGCAGAGGCAAAAGACAGAAACCAAGAAGCAGAAATTAGTTAGGCTGGTGAAGAAGTCAGGGTGTCTCCCCCTCCTGCTGCAACAAGCTCCCTTTTCCCTGGTCTCCGAGGACCAGGAGAGGCATGAAGAGGGAGGTGCAAAGGCAGACATCCTGGCATAGTCTCAAATTGCTTGGGAAGGACCTGGAGAGGAGACCTAGGCAGCTGTGGGAAGGCAGAGACCTTTAGTCTCCACAACTGTCTCATAGGGGCAAGAGTTGTTCTGCTCATTAGGCCTGGCACTCCTGAGACATTGTTTCTTCTAATAAAGCATTAACTTCACTTATTCTGTGTGATTTATTCCTGACAGGTGGGGAGGAGGGGCTAGAGGCGAGCTGGCCACTGCTGCTGCTGTGACACTACCACCGCCACCAAGACTTGTGGGAGGGAAAGGAAGAAGAAGCAGGGGGGATGGTGGCAGGGGTGTGGGGTGTGGCGAGAGGGAGTATGAGCAAGCATGGAGGTGATGATGGTAGCTGCTCCTTCCACCTCAGGTGGTGCAGACTGTTTTAAGGGCTACTACCCACCTCCCTGTTGTACGAAAACACAAAGACGGCAACCTGGTACCGACTTACCTGGGAATAAGCCCCATTGTTCTTGGCATGCATAGGGCCAAGTTGTAATGTATCCTAATTGGTCCCTTGCCTTTCCGCAAGAGAGAAGCTCTTGTACCTTGTGACAGTTAAACACTATAATAAAGAGGAAAGACCTGAACAGTCCTCGGGGACAAAGGACTTGTTCTTAGCTTTTTGCTACATCCCAGGATATGCCTCTTAAACATTTGACTTCCCCACTCACCTGCAAGTTGTGGGAAACAATGCTTTGTCTTCTTTAAATGTACCTGCGGAAGAGATGGGGATCCTAGGGCCCTCTAGATGTCATCGGACTCCAAAACCCATGAGTTCTAGATAGCATAGTCCATGGTGGGAGTTCTAGTCTGGATGGCCACAGGTTCCCCATTCCCAGAGTTAGACAGCTACCATTCAGAACTGTTCTTTTATTATCCCTTTCCCCTCCATCCACCCCTCAGCTTAACCACATGGGTACAAACATAAACTTATGAATTGCAACTGTGGTCCATTGCATGGCACGAAGGCGCAGGTATTTTGAGTCTAGCATCATATTTCCACAGTGGACAGCCAGAATCAAGGCATGAAGCTCTTCCCCACTGTTGTCCCTCCACAACTAGCATTTGGTGTCAGGCTGCATCCAGAATATTCTTTTTTTTGGGGGGGGGAAACACGCCTAACATGTATGTGTGCGTGTCTTTCTGAGTAAGCCATTGATTTGTGTGTGTCTCTTGTTCCTTCTTAGTCTCTGCACACACTTTATTATTTTCTGATTTCACATAATATTACTGAAGCTGTGACCGTACAGTACAGTAAAAGTTGTTCCGGTTTTATACAGTAGTACAGAATTTAGTCGGGATTTTTGTATGTGTGTGTGTGGGATTGGGGCTAAGACTTTTCTTATAAGTTGCCATGAGGCCATAAGGCAGGGCATAGATTTGAAAAAAATAAACAAACACGTAAATCCATTTGTATTTATTTTTGCATGCCGAAGTTTTCTTGGCGTTTCCACAGAGCTCTTGAGCAAAGTTTGTTTGCTTAAGGCTGGATGTGGCAGTTCCTGAAAAGGTGTTTCTATAATTTGTTTTGTGCTCCACACAATTCAAACAAACACGTGTGTGTGTGTGTGTGTGTGTGAGAGAGAGAGAGAGAGAGAGAGAATGTGTTGTTTTCCATCCTTTGTCCATCACAGGCAGAATTGAAGCTGGTTTGTGTGCATGATTTTCAAAAGCATCACTTAAGCTTCCAGCATCAGATAACAGGATTTGATCTCCTATGTAGGAAATAGCCAAGCAGAATCCGGGAGGGGGGGGAATTATCTGCTGAGGATGTAGTCACATGATCCCTGAAGGGAAGGGGGAAAGGGGGAAAGGTCAAGGGAAAGAGCGGCTGATCTACCTCCCTGCGGAAGCACTTCTTCCTTCATTCTGTCAGCATCCTAGAGAAATGAGAGCGGCGCTGAGCACGTGAGGGAGGAATTCGAAAAGGACACATTTATCAGAAGGATACAAGAAACAAGGCTTCAAATGTCACAGCGCATTGTTCCTGGAAGCAATGAACCACGAATTGCCGTTGCTTCCAATGCTAACGTTAATCATTGTACTTGTACGTGTTACGTCATCCCACTTGGGGTGCAACAGTTAAGGCTAGTCGGGAAAATCACATTAAAAAGGGAGTTGGGGCATATATATATTTCCCAGCATACGAGCGGAACGGGGTACATAACGGAAACACCTCGTGTTTCATAAGCGGTAATCGTGCTATAAAATAGGAATGGGAGATCTGTGGCACGCCAGATGTTCACAGAATCACAGAGCTGGAAGGGAGCCAAGGGTCATCTAGTCCAACCCCCTGCAATGCAGGAATGTTTTTGGACTTCAACTCCCATCAGCCTCAGCCAGCATGGCCAGCGATCAAGGGCAGTGGCAGTTGGAGTCCTTCAACATCTGGAGAGCCACAGGTTCCCCACTGCCACTACAAAACGAGGAATGTTTCTCATTTTAAAAAAGAGAGCTTTGGCTGCTTCCCCCCCGAAAACACTTTGTCTTATATTCTATGATTATGGATTATGTATAGGCACATATAGAGAACAGCACACATGGAGAACAGCCTCTACCAAAGGTGTCATGGACTTTAAAGAAGCGCAAACTCAGAGCGAAAAGGAGAAACGTGCTAAGAGGAAGGCACGTTTGGCAAACCCTCACCATGATCAACTCCTGCCCGGAAATATATGTCCCCACTGTGGAAGGACGTGTGGATCCAGAATTGGCCTCCACACCGACTTACGGACTCACTGTTAAGACCAGGTGTCAGCAAACTTTTTCAGCAGGGGGCCGGTCCACTGTCTCTCAGACCTTGTGGGGGGCCAGACTATATTTTGGAAAAAAAATATGAACAAATTCCTATGCCCCACAAATAACCCAGAGATGCATTTTAAATAAAAGGACACATTCTACTCATATAAAAACACGCTGTTTCCTGGACCATCCGCAGGCCGGATTTAGAAGGCGATTGGGCCGGATCCGGCCCCCGGGCCTTAGTTTGCCTACCCCTGGTTAAGACCATCTTCATGGAAGACAATCTTATTCGGCTACGAGTGATCGCCAAAGAGGCACATAAAGGAATCAGTGTGCAACCCATACAGAAAAAGTATAAGTGATGTTACTGAAAAGTGCAGGCTGTAACATTAGTTTGGTTTTATACGTTGTGATTGTTAAAAGTCAGAGAGCTGTGTGAGGAAACTGCTTTGTCCTCTTTGTTTTAAAGAAGGTGTATCTGATTGATAGGAGTAATTCCATTGAAAGTTGGGCCATAATGGGGAAAAGTAATTCTGTGTGAGCATTTCTCTATACAGTGGTACCTCGGGTTAAGTACTTAATTCGTTCTGGAGGTCCGTACTTAACCTGAAACTGTTCTTAACCTGAAGCAGCACTTTAGCTAATGGGGCCTCCTGCTGCTGCCACACCGCTGGAGCACAATTTCTGTTCTCATCCTGAAGCAAAGTTCTTAACCTGAAGCACTATTTCTGGGTTAGCGGAGTCTGTAACCTGAAGTGTATGTAACCTGAGGTACTACTGTACAGAGGTATGAGGAATGTGTACGTGCTGTCATGTGAGGTTGGTGTCCGAATAGGACTTGGGTTCAATTTCCCACTCAGCCATGAACCCCACTTTACAGGATTAGGCTAAAATAGCTCAGTTGGTGGAGCATGAGGCTCTTAATCTCAGGGTCATGGATTCAAGCCGCACATTGGGCAAAATATTCCTGCATTGCAGGGGGTTGGACTAGATGATCCTCATGGTCCCTTCCAACTCTACAATTCTATGATTCTATGTTCTTCATTCTTTCATAGCAGAGTTAAACAATGGTGATTGCCCCAAGCACATTAAAACTTGGTTAGACTTACATAGCCTCAGGCTGCAATGGAGGCTGTGGGTGAGAGAGCTTTGTTTTCAGCTCTGGACCAATGTAATATTTCCATGATTCTGTATCTGTGTTTGGAGAAGCACATGATATTATGCAGCTATTTGGAGGTAACATCATTGTTTTGGGTGTCTGTTTTGGAACAAGTTCTGTTAGTAAAGATTCTGAACCATATTTTTGGACTGGGCCATTTTTATTTCCAGAAGAATCCATTTTTTTATTCATCCTATTGCTTCCATGTGCGCCATATTAATAACCGCAATAGAGGACACATTCAGTTATTCTAGTATCCTTTCCCACCTCAGAATATGAATCAGCAAGCCACTTCCCACAGCCACACATTCAGCCAGAAAACTGTAAAGTACACTGGAGCAGCCATTCCGACATTACAATATAACCGCATCCTCATCAAGAGACATGAGTAAATAAAAATGTGTCAAGTGAATCAGGATACTGTTTGTAATGGCTTCTGAAAATGCATCTGCATTTAGAATCATGTTACCGTGAATGGAGCCATTCATGAAAGCTTGCAACCATCTTCCCCTGTTATTATCTTTCTCCACCCCCCGTTTTTTAAAAACATTTCTAGGAACCTGCTTTCCAGTTTGATATCCTAAATGCTTCGGAACAAAGAAAGATGATGACATAAGCATATCCCTTTTCCCCAGGCAGATGGATTGTGTGTGATTTAACCTTTAGCTCCTGCCTGTTGATGGAGGTGAGATGTCAAATATTTCTAAGTGAGTTTTTGGCAAAGGCTCATGTGTCTTTTCATCGGACATCCACAAAGCCAGGGAGGTTTTTACAGGCTTAAAAAGTGGCTGTGCTTTGCTTTCCTCCTCCTGCTCCCCCGCCACCGCCCGCCGCTCTCCCAGGCTACTTCCTTCAGACAGAAACAGGAAAGCCCAAGACAATGAAGTGATCAGCCATGTCCCCTCAGTAAATCTGTAAGTACTTCAAGTGTCACTTCCTGTTTTTGAAAGCTCACTCGCTTGTATGGCTTAGGGGCCCATCCCAGAGAGCACAGGGCATTTTCATTTCATAAGAGCGGAGCATCCACATTCTGCAGTCTGGATTTTCTCTCCAGTAAAGAGAACACAAGGAGAGCCTTCTGGATGAAGCCACTAGCCCATCTATTCCAGCATCCTGTTGCATGTCGAGGTCCCCAAGTCACCCCAATAAAAACACATTTCAGGCAATCAGATGGTTGCTCAAGAGCAATCAGGCAAGGTGCCCCACTGGTCTGTTCTAACGCCCCCTGCACCTCCTCGCCACTAGAGGCGTGGCTTCCTTCCTCTGCTGAGGAGGTGCTGCTTCCCACAATCTTTGGGGGCTCTCTGTAATCCATCCGCCTTTCCCCCCCTCGCCCCTGAGCCGATGGCAGTTCCCTGACAACACGGAATTTTGTTTAAGGTTTTTGGCATAATTTTGGCCACAGCTTTATTAAAATACAAAATACGTGAGTGGTTGCTTAGGCATTGGCTGCGACTCTCTGACCCCGCCTGGGGACAGACTGACATTTGCACACCCACGAAGTCAGAAAGGGAAAACATTTGGGGAGAGCGATGGAGCAGGGCACCTGCACCTCTCCCCAAGTGCTCCCAGGGGCTTTTGCGTGGCCCTAGGCCCTTGACAGGGGTTCGGAATACCCTTGCAGCAGCAGCATTGGAGGGGCAGGCACAGCCAATCCATGCCCCTCCACCAACCAATTCATAAAGCCAGTGCCTAACCGCTACCTTACAAGTTGTGACGATTTGCTATGCAGTAGGCAAAAACCAAATGGCACCAGCCAATCAGCCAGATGAACAAAATTCCTACTGGGCCCCTGCCCCAAAAGCAGACGACCCCATGACAGGCATAGCAAGGGCAAAGCAAACAACCCTAGAATATAGGGAAGGTGGGCGGGCAATCCGATGCACGCAGCGAAAAGAGGAAGCTCAACGCTGCGCGTAGGGAGTTTTAACTCTTCTGGCTGTCAGTCACAAATGGCAACATCACAATCTCCCCAACGACAAGGGAGCCCGATCAGAACGGTGGCCGATTAGTTTTAACCCGCCCAGCAACAGTGGGGTGTCTTGTTAGCCTCCACCGCAACACGTGCTCTCCATGAAGGAGAACACGTTTTCTCACAGTGGCTGGCAAGATGCTTGTGGGAAGCTCACAAGCAAGACCCGAGGACAACAGCAGTCTCCCCTCCCGTGGTTTCCAGCAACTGGTGTTCAAACGCCTCCATTGAAGTTTAAACCATTACGATTAATGGTTCAAGGGCTAATCTGAGAATGCCAAAGCAAAAGCCCTCCAAGGGCTGTAACCAGACAAGGCTGCAGGCCTGAATAAAGCAGCTGCTCTCTTCTGAGATTAGCTTGCCCAAATTGCCACAAGGTTTGCTGATTCATTAAAGCAAGGCCTTGATCCTAAACAGGTTAACTCAGAAGTAAATCCCATGGTTTCGACTTGCTTCTAAGTATATATGGTTAGAGCTGATCCCTTTGGAATGAATTGGCTCGACTGCATGCAAATGACTGTTCAAATAATTAGCTACTCAAGTGAGTAGTAAGCAGTGTAATGATGGAGAAGCCTATTCTTAGTCGATGGAGGTTCACTGAGTCAAGAATGCTGAAGATAAGGAAATCCCTGACCATAGAACCCGCCGCTGCATTTTCCATATGTATGTTCTTTGAAAGTACACTACTCTCTAGATAATATATTTTTTTTACTGACCATTCCTGTGGGTCCCCTACTGTGGAGCCAAAAAGTTTTTGTGAACCGTCCCCCCCCCCAAACCCCTAACATGTCCTTAAAAAACAAAACCTACTTTTACACTTCAGCCTCTCCCACTGTGATACACGGCCCAGAGGCTTGAGCATGAGTCAATGTGGCCCTCAGCTCAAAGAATGTTAGTCCTCTCTGCCCTAAATTGAATGCACTTGACAGCTAAAATGTAGAAAGAATCTGGCTCAGTTTGTGTTCTGAAGCTAAAAAATCAGCTGTGCTGCTTTGTTTTGCTGGGTGCATTTCATTGCTGATACACTTGCATAGCTGTCAACGTTTCCCTTTTTTAAGGGAAATTCCCTTATTCTGAATAGGATTCCTCGCAAGAAAAGGGAAAAGTTGACAGCTATGCACACATGATGACGGGGGGCGGGGAGCATATTGAACAAGAACCAAGGAAATAGGTTAAATGGGGCTGACTTTGAAGTTCCAAGTCTCTTACACACCGGCTGTAGGTTGAGGCAACTGTCAGTGTGTAACAGAACTACAGTCCTATACAATGCAATGTTTATAATGAGTGAGAAGAGATTGAGACCTCCTGGAAATGTGGCACAAAACAAGCAGCACATCTGAAATAATTAGGACATTGGTGTTATTTAAATAAATGGGTCTAGTAATTTTTCTCTGGGAAGCACGTGGATCTAACAAGACAATCGTTCTAATTTATGTTGTTGAATATTTGGTCAGAGGCAGATTTAGGGGAGCATGACCGGTTCCGTCACACTGGGCACACAGCCTCGGGGGTGCTGCAGGGGGCACTGAAACTGTAAGGCGAGAGGTAAAGTGAGCTGAATTTTGGCGTCGCACAGGGCATCGCTGAAATCTGAGACCCCAAGTTCCTCCACTGATTTGGTTTTAAGTGGGACGTGATGCCACAGATTCATATACTAGCAATCTCATTGTGGGCTTCCTGCTTCCCCCAACACCATTCTGCACCCAATCCCTTTCAGATCCAAACCGCATGAGTTGAGAACCCAAACACCCTCCTTACACATTTTCTCTCTAGCATGGAATGGCAAATCTCAGCCAAAATGTGGCCCTTTTAGATCCATCTCTCAAATATTTACTAGAAGCCTTGCACCCAGCGTTGCTCAGGAAGCCTAAGAAACTAAAATAATAATAATAATAATAATAATAATAATAAGTACTATTTCAAAATCAGCGATTGTTATCAGTGCAATTTTGAAAGTCAGTGTAAACAGGAACCGAGCAGGAAAAGCGGTTTCTTGTGCATTGTGAAGCTTTGAAGCAATAGTTACCAAGACCTCCCACAGGCACCATAGGAGGCACTGGCAGGCATACTGGTACCCAGAGGTGCCATTTTGGTGGCACCTGTTGGGATTTTGACTACGTGCCATTCTGTGCAGCTTCACACAAAGCAATTAGAAGTTGGCCAAAGGCCAAGAAGACTGAGCAGAGGAGTTATCTGCCTAGAGATATGAGACCTTCGATACAGCTCCACCATTGGTTGAGGTCTCACACAGGCATGATGACTTATGACCTTACTGACTGGATAGTTTGTTGGTCAGTGTGGTGTTCTGAGTTCTAAGAGTCGTTTGGAGTTTGTTAAGAGAGAGCTAGTTAAGATCCGTTTCTGTTCTTGTATATAGTAACGTGTAGAGTCTGCTGTAAATAAGGAACACCTATAAGTAACCAAGTTACTAGTAGCAGTGTCTTGTTCCTGCTTCGTCCATACTGCCTGCAACTGATTGCTTTCTGGAACTCTGCGTATGCTCTCCTAAGGTCTCTCTTTGTCCCTGGGGAGCCAGAACCAGTAGACAATAGTGGACAGAGAATCTGACCTGGTATAAATTAGCTTCATATGGTACAAGTTAGCTTCTTATTCAGGGGTGGGGATTATTGAGTTAGTTTTCCTGGTTATAATGCTAGTGCTTTTGTTTGTTTGTTTGTTTGTTTGTTTGTTTGTTTGTTTCATAAAATGTATATACCGCTTGATTTTCAAAAACCTCAAAGCAGATTGCAAAAAGATACAACAACAAAAAATCAAAGGGGGAGGGAAATACAACCCTACTTTAAAAGCATACAGAAGTTAAAATACTA